ATATTAGGCAGGGAATCAGGATTAATGGGTCTTTTTCAGGATGGAAAGCTGTAACTAGTGAGTGCCACAAGAATCAGTCTTAGGACCTCAATTATTTACCATTTACAGTAGTGACTTAGAGGAAGAAGCAGAATGTAATGTGTCCAAATTTGCTGATGATACAAAAATAGATAGGAGAGCATGTTGCAATGTGGACATAAGGAATCTACAAAGGGATGTATGTCAGTTAAGTGAGTGGTAAAAATTTGACAATTGGTGCTTAATGTAGAAGAGTGTGAGTTTATGCACTTTCATAAAAAAGATCAAAGGCAGAACTATTATTTAATTTAAAAGAAACTCCAAAAAAGCACAGTACAGAGGGATTTGTATGTTCTTGTGCATGAAACACGCGATGTTAGATTGCAGGTGCAGCACATAATTAAGAAGGTAACTGGAAGTTTGGCCTTTATTGCTTTCAGGTTGCAGTTTAAAAATAGACAGGTCTTATTACAACTATACAAAGTGTACGGTTTTAGTCACCATATTTAAGAAACCATATTGACATTTGATGTTGTCCAAAAGGATTCACAAGGCTGATCCCTGGGATGAAAGGATTCATTTATCAAGAATGGCTGAACTATATAGGATCAATTGATTATAGTTTAGAAAAATGAAGGTAAGCTTATCAAAGCATATAAGATTCTGAAGGGAGTTGGCAGAGTTGGTGTTGAGAATAAAAACAAAGTACTGAGGATGCTGGGAATGTCAGTTGAATGCAAAAAATACTGGAGAAACTCAAGTCTGGCAGCATCTGTGGAGAGAGAAACAGATGTAAAGAAGAGTCACATCGGACTCAAAATGCTAATTCTTTATCTCTCTGTAGATGTCCAAGGCAGGACATATACAGTTAATGATAGGGTCCTGGGAGTATTGCTGAACAGAGAGACCTACATAGTTCCTTGAAAGTGGAATCACAGGTAGACAAGTTAGTGAAGAAGGTGTTTGGCAAGCTTGGTGTCATCAGTTAGAGCATTGGATACAGGATTTGGGATGTCATGTTACAGTTGTACAAGATTGATCACTATATACAATTCCGGTCGCCCTGCTACAGGGAGGATGTTATTAAACTGGAAAGGGTGCAAAAAGAATTTACAAGGATGTTACCAAGATTAGAAAGTTTAAGTTAGAAGGAAAGGTTGGATAGGCTGAGACTTATTTCCCTGCAACGTAAGAAGCTGAGGGGTGACCTTATAGAGGTTTATAAAATCATGAGAGGCATAGATAAGATGAATAGCTAAGATCTTTTCCTTTGGGCAAGGGAGTTCAAAACTAGACGGCTTAAGTTTAAGGTGAGAGGGGAAAAATTTAAAAGGGACCTGAGGGGCAACTTTTTCACAGAGAGGGTGGTGCTTATATGGTACAAGTTACCAGAGGAAGTGGTAGAGGTGAGTACAGTTACAGCACTTAAAAGACATTTCGGCAAATACATGGATAGGAAAGGTTTAGGAAAGATATGGGCCAAACACTGGCAAATGGGACTAGTTCAGTTTAGGTAACCTGGTTAGCATGGACAAGTTGGGCTGAAAGGCCTGTTTCCAGGCTGTCTGACTGTATGACTCTATGCTGAGAAATATTTCTATGCTTGCCGTCCTGTTTTTCAATCTAATTTTCTCTCCAGTTATCAAATTTCTGAACAATCTAAATAATGGATCCTGGTCTGTAAAAACAAATTTTTCTAGAAGCGTGCTAAAATTGTTTGCACTAAGTGGTGGCTTTGGAATCAAGCAAGTTATCCTGTTCTATGTGCCTGTGAACACCTCATTATACAAAGATTTCATGAGGACCTGGCATTCATCATTTGAAACTGTTCAACTGAACTGGCAAGCTACAATTCTTTTATTTTCTTTTTTAATTTGTCCTTTAACTGTGTCTGCCTGTCAGTCCTTCTTTGTGTGAGTGGGAGTTATGACTAAAGAAACCTGTGTTTAGATTGAAGATATAAATTAGATTACTTGTATCTTTGCTCTGCTGTAGTTACACTAGTAATAATAGATTGTTAATTTTTGTTTAAGTTATAAACTTGGTGTTCAAGATCTGTTACTTATAAAGTCTGGTTAGGAACAATTGGGAAATATTTAGAGTTATGGAATATTTTAATCTCATTGTCTTGTGAATCCTAGAATAGTGAGGCTAATTTGGTTTGGCTTGCTATCTCTCTGTTGTAACTATTTCTTCTTTGATTGTGAGTGGAGGGAGTGGAGAAGGATGGATGTGGGGTGATAGTATGGGTGAAGTTGGGGATTCTAACCAACATACAGCAGCATTTGTAAGGCTCAGGCATTTTCCTAATCAGCATATACTTTTTTTTAATCAAGGAGTAAAGTTTCATCACTATCCTACAAACAGCATAGGACCCAATTATATATTTCTGTAACATTTTCCAGAATATCCAATGAGTATTCCAAATGGCAGTTCCTTCAATATGTTATGTAATACATCTCAGATAATCCTCTCTACAACTCATGCTAAACAGGATTTTTTGTGTTTCTAACTTAATTCCCTGTTTAAATATAGTCACCAAATTGCTCTCACTTCAGTGTATAGAATTAATTCCAGACATCATTGAGCAATCAAATATTTGAGCCATTGATTTCTTTGCTCATCTTAGACGAATGTTATTCAAGCCAGCAGGGTGATCTGCTTCAAGGGCTATCATTCCATTAAGGAATAGATTTGCATCAATTTTAATGTCTCCAACAGTCTGCACAATATGGATAATTTGTAATCATCCTCTTTTCTCAAGAGCAACACAAAATAACATTTAAAGCTTCAACATCACCTTGGGACTCTACTCAGTTCTGTGTGCAGAATTTCTCAAAGGCTCTATATGTTCTTCAATAGCCCACTGAGTTGTAATGTATCATTGATGTAAACATACTAGTCATACATTGAAGCCTTGAAACCTCCCTCCAAAAACAGGGATCAATTTTTATGCCAAACGTACAAATGAATCGCAAATGGTGTAGAATCACCATATTTGTTTGCACCATAGAGTCTGCCGTATGTGTGTGTGTATCCTAAACTGATGCACACATTCTTAACACATCCTGTTTTGCATGTTTGTCCCATTGCACCAAATTATAGTTATTGCAGTAAGTAATTTGTATGATGAAAGATTGAGGCTGGTCACTAATATGCATTCAGCATGCTGTTAGCCTATATGCCCAAAAAAATGCAAAACTCGATTTTGAGGGCTGAAAAAATGAGGTTATTTTTAAAAGTTAGGTCAGTTTATATGTCTGGTTTATTGTGGCTAAAGAAACCTCTTACAATCTCTACCACACCTATCCATTAACTTCTTGACTGCTCTATCGAAGTAATCAAATAGCTGATTTAGATTCTGTGCGTTAAACAATATTGGGCATCATAAAAGTGCATGCATCATAGTAGGGAATAAAATTAAGTTTAAGTCAATCTTGAGAAAAAACCAACACTGGCAAAGAACAAGAGAGCTTCAAGTTAGACCACATGACTTTCGTTGGCATTATCATTACAAATCAACCAATACCAACTTCTTGACTGTTACTCTTGACCAGAAATTGATTCAGCCACATGAAAACATAGATGTGCTTTTTGGTCTGTTGGTTATGCATCACTGTAAGTATTTATCAAGAAGGTAGTTGCCATGTGATAATAGAACAATCTATGTGTTAACTTAAGAATGTAGGAATTCTCGTAAATATGCACAAGTGCTGATATCTGTAATGCCACAAATATCTATCTCTGGTCCACTGAAGCAAGTTCATCCCATTTTTGATTTGCTGAAAAGCTCCATACCTCTTATTGCTGATCTGCATTTCGGTGTGTTGATTTTGACATGTTAATCAGTGAGCAGCTCACAAATAGGGAGAATTTTCATGGTAGTGTAATCTATGTTATAGCAAATTTCACATCTTTCCCGAACTCAGTGGAAATAAAAATTGGATTAGAATTAAATTGGGACAATAATTCATTATCACTCACTTTACATCATTACATAAAGTCAAAGATGCACCTACAATTTTGGAATAGTGGATTTTTTCATTGTCTTTGGGTGGCACAGGTGAATTTTTAACTCCCTTAACTCCTTAAATCATCTTTGTGTGAAATTATTGGGATTGGGTCTTCATGCCAATGCAAATATAATGAAGAGCGTAGTGTAGAGTAAGTAATGAGTGGAAAGATATAGCAATTATTTTGGTCAATACTGTAAAGTAATGCACACTTATTAAATACATGGCTCTGATTCCTTTAACGTTGCTGCATTGTTTCAAATAAACAAGTTAGAAATTGAAATACAGAAACCAAATACAGAAATGCTTGAAAATTAATTGTCAAAGGGTCAGGACTTTGTTCCTTGTGGCCTTGTCTCTATGCCCTTATATTTGAATCACCCAACATCCTTTATATATCAAATACAAAATGTTCATGCCAAAGGTATTATTGGCCAGAACCAGAACCTGTCGGCACATTGCCTACTTATGTTTGCTCATCAAAGCTTCTGTAAAGATGCAAAAGCTTTGATGAAGTTATATTCATTTTCTGAAAAAGCAAAACTGAACATTGAATAAGATTCAAACCATTGGCTGATGATACAACAATTTCCTGTCTGCCTGAGGAAACAGGTATATTTCCTATTGCCTGAGCCAGCCATGGACTATTTGCAGAACAATGCTATTTCTAAACATACTCTTCTGACCCTTTCTGTTTTATGAAGCTTTCAACACAATCACTTGAAGTATACAGAATTTATTTTATCACATTATTATCTAAATGCTTCAGATTTATTTTGTGTCAAGCATGCTATTAATTTATTTGAATACATTTTTGACAACTCTGTTAAATCTATCTGTATATGCAGGGAATTTAAAATTATAAAATTAACATTAGGTTTGTGATAAATTATTAGCTGAATCCCAGGCAGCTTTTATTAAATTCTATTAAAAATTTCTAATGACATTTCCCTTCAATTCCTCTTTCAGGTAATGCAAAAAATATCTCCACAACTTCTGTGACAACTACTGAGACAAATCCAACAGCCTCAACAGGTATTTGTTTTAGGGAGTCAAAGGTTATTGGGGTTGGGTTGGAATTGTGGCCACAGTTAGATCAGCTGTGGATTTATTAAATGGTGGAACAGGCATGAGAGATTGAATGAGTCACTCCTGCTCCTAATTCATTTGTTTTTATGTTTTGTTTTTAACAATGTTTGCACTAGACAGTCAAATATGTTGACATTAACAAAACAGCATTGCCTTGATCCCTAATTCCCCTAAGTTATTGATTTACAATAATTTTGTGTTGTGGTTATTTCCAGTTTAGATTGTAAAACAAAATTAGTGTTAATAAACAAAGTATGATTAGAAAGCTTTGTGGCAAAGAGTTCCAAATTCTAATAGGTGAAACTTTTTTTGCATCACTCTCAATTCTTTTTGCAATACTCTTAAATATTTGGCCTCTTATTACTATATCACGTACAAATAGAAGCAATCTAAGATGAAGCGTCTCAATATAAATACTCATTCCTGATAACATCTGAGTGAACGTAAAGGACAACATTTTCTCTCTTTTTGATACTTCAAATAATACTGTCTAAAATTATATACAACACAGTCTAGCTGTGATTTAATTAAAACCTGAGACAGGCTCAATATTATGTCTCTGCTTTTCTGTTATACACCACTAGAATCAAAGCTGATGTTTCCTATTTCCTTTGAATGATCTTATGTGTGCTGCCACCTTTGCTGATTCATGTTATTCCTGTAAAATCTCCTCATTGGGTCTAAAGTTTCTGTCCCAAATACTAATGGCACGCAACAACTCAAATAACATTCCATATAATGTGGTACCCTTTAATAAATTTCTAAGTAATACTACTCACTCACAATGACACTGGTTTCTGAGAAATCCCATAAACTAGGGTATATCTCAAGTGGTCAACCCATCAACAGTTGTCCTGGCCTGTCGTCCTTTGTGACCTATCTGCTCTACCCACCTGCAGTGGTGGTTCGTTCACAAGGTTGTTTCTTTATACCCCTTTCCTTTCCTTGCTATGACCATGCCATATAAGGTAACACTTGTTTTATCCCATCCATTGATTTCAATGATGTTGCTGCCCTGTTTGAAGCTATCACCAGATGTATTTTCTCTGGATCCTTTCTTCAAGGCCATGCTTGACTAAATACAAGCAATTGTTTAAGATGTTACCTCTAATATATCGTAATGATTGAGTGTGGGTAACAGTTTTCCAATCACAGAAAAAATGTCCTTCATGGCTCATGCACCATATAAAACTATTAGTAATTACTATTGGTGTGACCAATAATTTTGCATCCTGCTTACCTGTCCTTATGCTTATAATGCAGTTCTTTAGCCATGTTACCAATTACTTCCTCAGTGCGTATGCCACTGCCATGAGACGAATGTAGCTCAGAGAACTTCATCACAACCAGTTTACACTCATTAATAGGAAATAAATAAAAACATGGCTGCACAATTCAAGGTGATTGACACAAGAGTAAATAATACATCGGATCACAGACTTACTGTGAGTTGTATCTGTTTGTGTATATTCTTACGTGTCATGGTCATTATGCTCTTCTAATTCATTTATAACCATATCATGTAAGGTTTACTTTTCACTTAATGCATATGCTTGTTTCTAAGCTCTCTGTACATTTGACCATATCTGCCACTTCTTCATCCACTCAAGCTTCACCTATATCTTCCCGCAGTATTTTGTATCCAAAAGATAGTAATCAACTTTTTCTTACCACGTCCTAATTGAGTGGCACTAGATAATTTCAAAATTGCTCCCTCAGATCCAACATTGTATCCATTTATTTACATACACCAAACATAACAGGAGCCACCACCATCTACAGCTTTCCAGACCTCCAGTACAATAGATTTTCTCTTATCATAGTCTTAATTTGCCTTTTGCTATTCAACAATCTGCACACTTTATGCAATACTCCCTTTAATTTCATGTAGGAAAAGCTTCATAAATGCACCTTGAATATTTGTATAAACATCATCATTTTAATTTCAAATCTATCCTTATTTCAAGCAATTCTATAAGATTGATTCAGCATGCCCATCATTTAGAAAATCATACTGATGACCCCTGGTTAATTCTATTCTTTCAAAAGGTTTTAATGATTCTATTTTATTAACTCTAGTAATTTACAAAAAAATTTGTGAGCAAAACCAACTTATAAATATTTTCCTAACTTGTATCTGTCTTCTATTTCAAAGAAGTCACTTCTTGGGTTTAGTAATGGCGCAATGTCTGCTGAGTTTTGGAAAATTATAATCTCACCTCCTCTAAATGCCTTCCTACTTGCCTTAGGCTTCTACTTGTACACTAGCATATCCCTATAACTGGTCTCCCTTAAACATGAGCAGATCTTTTATGAAAATATTATCTATTACTGTAAAAAGACTGTCACAATAAACATGCTTCTTATTTCCAGTAAACAGTAAAGATTACACCATGAATACATTGAAGCAACTTTGTTAAGTATTTCGGTAAGAAAAAAAGTTTGAAAAGCATTCCAGCTCTATTAGCATCTGAAGGAGAAAAAAGAGGTTAAGCTTTAGGATGGACAGTTTTTTTTGCTACTTCTGATGAAGTGCCCTTTTCTTGCTTAATTATGAAAGGCCAGAATATGCCCCAGGGATGTAAGGGAAAACCTAATGGGGAATGATTGTAAAGAAAAGGATGATGGTATGTGTACACAGGGCTAATCATGACCCTGCCTTCATTGCAAATTGGACAACTACCCTACATTCTGGTGGAGTATTGGATCAGAAAAGTTACCTGTAAAACATCAAGGGAAATAAGCCCTCTGTGCCTTATGTCCCATCAGTATCCTTGGATGTGTCCTTGCCCACTTGCCCAGTGCACCTCCTCGCCCAGGTACCTCCACCATTTTCATTGCCTCACCTCCCAACATTAACAATTGCCCAGTGCAAAGCTGACAAGCAAAAATACTTCATTGTCTAATGGTGCCTATCTTCAAAAGCTATGAGTACATTACCATTGACTATTTCATTAATTGACAATAGAAAACTATTCTATGAATGTTATGCCCTAGGAACAACAAACACAGGAGAGACTGTTAAAACAACTTATTCAGAATCACCAGTGATAAGGGGGAAGACAAATACGCAAGATGCAGGTAGCCAGCAAACTACTAGAATTACAGGTAAGTGTTATTACATTTCAGCTTTCAATACGATTTATGAATTTGGCATCATACAAGTCATTACCTTTAAGGCCAGTTAGACTCCAAAGAAAGGGTTGTGTGCATTCTAGCAATGTGCACAATTATTTACTTCGGCAGCAAGAATAGTAAAGCAGAAGATTATTTAAAGGAGAGAGGCTACAGACTGCTGCAATACAGAGAGATCTGAGGGTTCTTGTACATGTATCACAAAATGTCAGCATGTAGGTACAGCAAATAAATATGAAGGCAAGCAGATTGTGAGCATCTGTTGCAGGTTTGCCTTGGCTTACTGTTTACTAGCCTGAAAGCCAGAGGCAACCACACCACAGCCATATTTCGGGCACAAAAAGTATGCTCCTCTGATTGAGTGTAAATTCCTTTCCCGGTAAATAATAATTTATTTTAAAATGCCTCCCCATGCATTAAACAATACAATAGATATCATATTTAAAAAGTTAAGATTAAATAACAGAGACAACAAGGTGCAGGGCTGGATGAACACAGCAGGCCAAGCAGCATCATAGGAGCAGAGAGGCTGACGTTTCGGGCCTAGACCCTTCATCAGAAAAGGGGGAGGGGAAGGGGGTTTTGAAATAAATAGGGAGAGAGTGGGAGGCGGATAGAAGAGGGATAGAGGAGAGGATAGGTGGAGAAGAAACAAACAGGTCGAAGAGGCGGGGATGGGGCCAGGAAAGGTGAGTGTAGGTAGGGAGTTAGGAAGGGGATAGGTCAGTCCAGGGAGGACGGACAGGTCAAGGGGGCGGGATGAGGTTGGTCGGTAGGAGATGGAGGTGCGGCTTGGGGTGGGAGGAGGGGATAGGTGGGAGGAAGAACAGGTTAGGGAGGCAGGGACGAGTTGGACTGGTTTTGGGATGCGGTGGGGGGAGGGGAGATTTTGAAACTTGTGAAATCCACATTGATACCATTGGGCTGCAGGGTTCCCAAGCGGAATATGAGTTGCTGTTCCTGCAACCTTCGGGTGGCATCGTTGTGGCACTGCAGGAGGCCCAGGATGGACATGTCGTCTGAGGAATGGGAGGGGGAGTTGAAATGGCTCGCGACTGGGAGGTGCAGTTGTTTGTTGCGAACCGAGCGTAGGTGTTCTGCAAAGCGGTCCCCGAGTCTCCGCTTGGTTTCCCCGATGTAGAGGAAGCCACACCGGGTACAGCGGATGCAGTATACCACATTGGCAGATGTGCAGGTGAACATCTGCTTGATGTGGAAAGTCTTCTTGGGGCCTGGGATGGGGGTGAGGGAGGAGGTATGGGGGCAGGTGTAGCACTTCCTGCGGTTGCAGGGAAAAGTGCCGGGTGTGGTGGAGCTGGAGGGGAGTGTGGAGCGGACAAGGGAGTCACGGAGAGAGTTGTCCCTCCGGAAAGCAGATAAAGGTGGGGAGGGAAAGATGTCTTTGGTGGTGGGGTCGGATTGCAGATGGCGGAAGTGTCGGAGGATTTCACAAGTTTCAAAATCTCCCCTCCCCCCACCGCATCCCAAAACCAGTCCAACTCGTCCCTGCCTCCCTAACCTGTTCTTCCTCCCACCTATCCCCTCCTCCCACCCCAAGCCGCACCTCCATCTCCTACCGACCAACCTCATCCCGCCCCCTTGACCTGTCCGTCCTCCCTGGACTGACCTATCCCCTTCCTAACTCCCTACCTACACTCACCTTTCCTGGCCCCATCCCCGCCTCTTCGACCTGTTTGTTTCTTCTCCACCTATCCTCTCCTCTATCCCTCTTCTATCCGCCTCCCACTCTCTCCCTATTTATTTCAAAACCCCCTTCCCCTCCCCCTTTTCTGATGAAGGGTCTAGGCCCGAAACGTCAGCCTCTCTGCTCCTATGATGCTGCTTGGCCTGCTGTGTTCATCCAGCCCTGCACCTTGTTGTCTCGGATTCTCCAGCATCTGCAGTTCCTACTATCTCTGATTCAAGATTAAATAACAGTTGTTTGGAAGTAAAGATTTTTAATACCTTAGGCAGAGGATGGCTGGTGTAAACAATGAAAGATTTGACAGAACTTGAAGGATTTTGTCAAGACAAATGACAAGGAACTTCTCTTGCAACAAAGCAATAATTTTGCAGCTCCCCAGTCGAGAGCTATTGTTAGCAAAGAGCACAAGTCAGAAATTCAAATATAAGTTTCAGGCCTGTCACTGACTGCCTCTCTCTGAAAGCATATGCCCTGCTGGAAAAATAGGATCATACAATGACAACAAAAACAGAAGTTGCTGGAAAAGCTCAGCAGTTCTGGCAGCATCCGTGAAGAAAAAATCAGAGTTAATGTTTCAGGTCCGGTGACCCTTCCTTAGAATGGGTCACTGGACCCAAAACGTTAACACTGATATTTTCTTCACAGATGCTGCCAGAACTGCTGAGCTTTTCCAGCAACTTCTGTTTTTGTTCCTGATTCACAGCATCTGCAGTTCTTTTGGATCATACAATGACCCCTCTAATCATAATGTATGGTACAACTTGATAAAAAGAATGCATATAAATTGAAATAATTTCCATTTCTCAACATACAGTGTAGGCATCTTTGTCTCATAAATATAAATTGAAACAGAAGATCCTATTATTTTATTATTTGCTAATAAGTACGTTGCAACCAGATGCCTGCAAAGTTGCTCATCCGTTATAGTTCCAGGTCAGATACCACATACAGTTAAGTTCCCAAGGTAAGGAGGGTGAACTGGTTCCTTTCATTCAGTCACTTATCCCTTCTGTTGGTTACAACAAGGTTAATTTGGAAAGGATTCCTTCACTTCTGGATTCCTTCTCCCAGACTAAACTTTAAATAGGAGCCAATTTAACAAATCTTTTTTGAATTACCAAAAGGAGTGAGTTTAATCTTTACTAGATTTAAGAAGAAATGCTAACACAACCCACACAGGGCAGAATTTTTCCAGAGCATGAATGAAATGGGTTATGTCTGAAAAATTGGGAGAGATGTCCAGTGAGGCCTTTCTCAACATTGACACTGAAAAGTCATATTTTCAAACTAAATCTCAGACTTCGAGATAAGATTCTTGCTAGTGAGCAGGGAGAGGCTATTACTGGGATTATCATTCTCATTATTTTTACTTATTTACAACTTGTTTATGGGATGTGGACATCACTGGCTACCATGCATTTATTGTCCATCCCTTTATTGCCCTTGAACTAAATAGCTTCTCAGCCATTTCAGAGGCCAATTAAGAGTCAACTACATTGTCTGTGATGGGAGTCACATGTGGGCCATGTAAGGATGGCAGATTTTCTTCCCTGAGGATATGAGTGAACCAAATGAGTTTTTACAACAATGAACAGAGACTGAAAGTTTGCCATGAGACAAGCTCTTCAAATCCAACAAGCTGGGGTCTTTTCCTGTTTGGGGCTGAGCAGGAATGAGACAAAAAAATAGGTTGAGATAGAAGTAGGTGACACAGCTTTTAGTGCTGGTGCAGGTTGGATAAAGCTGTCCCAAGTGAGTGAGTTAACAGCACAGGGAACATGCAGGATTTACAGTGTGACAATTTCCCTTGGTCTATCATGTCTGGGGTGAATGTTGCCAATTGCACAGAGCAGCTCTGCAGTACCAACATTTGGTATGTTGTGCAATGGCCTTTTAAATATGGTCCTGGTACTAGGGATCTCAGGATATCCTGGCAGCAATGAATACTTTCGCCTACGATGAGCAGGAAATTCAAGATAACATCAGATGGCTGGGGTGCATAGATTCATGGAATGTAGTTGATGAAGCGGTTTAGGGACAATTGAATGAGAAAACTTGCTCCTCCATTGAATGCAATGAAAATGACAATTTTGGCAAGATTCAGCCCATTTGCACACAGATTAGAAATAGGAGGTGAATCTAAACAAAATGTTAAAACCGGGTAATTCAGTTCTATCTGAATTGTTCAACATTACAGGAATATTAGATTACACCAGTAAAGTTGACTTTGGCAGTTGAACAGTCGATTTGTGAGGTCCTAGGCTTTATGTGCTGATTGAAGTTCCTTTCTCCTGATACCTTTTCTTAATAACTGCTGCCAGCATTCGAAGAGAGGCAGATACTTCATTTCTTTACCTGTGGTGCAGGGATGCTTACAAGCTGGTCTCAGACTGGGATTTCCATAGCATATTAGGCACACAGTAGTTCACAGCAGCTTAATAAAACCACACACTAGTGGCCAAATTCTCTTTTAAGCCTTTCTTAAATTAATTCACAGGATGAGGTCATCACTGGCTAGGCCAGCATTTATTACCCATCCCTAATTTCCCACAGGGTAGTTAAGAGTCAATCACTTTGTTGTGGATCTGGAGTTACATGTAGGACAGACCAGGTAAGGATGGCAGTTTCCTTCCCTCAAGGGCATGAGTGAACCAGATGGGTTTTTTCCAAAAGTTAGAAATGGGTTTGTGGGCATCATTAGACTCTTAATGCCAGATTTTTTTTTTAACTGAATTCACACTCCACTATCTGCCATGATGGGATTTGAACTCAGGTCCCCATAGCATTACTTGGGGCTCCAAATTAAGAGTCCAGTGATACACTCGGCCATTGACTCCCTGTACCTCCATAGCCCCTTTTTTGTATATTCCTGGAAGAGGAAACCACAAAAAGTATTTGCAAGAGGTGGGTCTCTGCCAAGGGGTGGAAGGTGGTGGAGTGGTAATCATTACTATCATTATCTCAAGTTGCTTTCCCTATGTTGTCTCTGAACTTTCTTTGACACCTTTATGTGTTAAATACCATAGATTCCACAATATTTTTTGTTTAGCAGCCAGCCACTGAATTGACAGGTATTTTGTTACAACAGGTGCCTGTTGTATTCGTCTATCCTAAAAAAAAGCACATTTTGGAATTAAGGATTAAAAATGCCGTAGTGTTTTAGGCTTCTAACACAGTGTTGTAACAATTGCTTTGAACTGTTGTGAGTATTTTTATCATAATCAGAAATACTTTTCATTTTATAGTGTCAAGTATTTCTTCAGTGACAGACACTTCTACAATTGTACCATCTACAGGAAGCAAAAACGCAACATTTGAAACAATAACCCCTGAGAAGAATGAAACAGCAGGTAAAACCTGTCATTACCTTAAAATGTTGGTACCTCAATGTAATGTAAACAATCCATCTATAGTGGTCATTTTAGGTTTGATGTGGGGTTGACAGAGATTAAAGATTTCTCCATCTGAATGTTCTTAACACTGACACAAGAGAACAGTTGATGCTTGATGAGGTGAATAGCCACTACTGGGCGTATTGTAAGGGGTCTTTTATGCAGCAATGCTTGAGCCCAATAAAATGGTGAAGGCAGATCTCCCACTCAAGATAGTCTCATTCATTTTATCATGAAGCGACTGAAGGATTATAATGAAGTGTCTTAGCCATCCAAATTTTTGGAGCATGACCCACAGGGCTGCGTGATTTGCTGAAACAAAATGTTTTGACTAACTTGATGAATGAAGACTTCCTAGTGTTCATCCTGACATTTGCCTTGACTTTGTCTGCCAAAAGAGAAATGTTGCAGCTTCTTATGAAATGTCTAAAGTGACAATGTGTCTCTGGTAGGATTTACTCAGTCATAGAGATGCATTTTGGAGGAATTTAGGTATGAGTAATACTGTAAATGGCAGAACCCTTAGGAGCATTAACATACAGATGGATCTGGGTATGCAAGTCCACAGTTCGCCAAAAGTGGCAACACATTGGCCAAGGTGATTAACAAGACAAATAGAATGCTTGCCTTCATTGGCCAGGCGTCGGGTACAAGATTTGGCAAACCATGTTGCAGCTATATGAAACCCTTGTTAGGCCACATTTGGAGTATTGTGTGCAGTTTTGGTTGCCACATTACCAGAAGGACATGGAAGTTTTGGAGACAGTGCAGAGAAGGTGCATCAGGACGTTGCCCTGTCTCAAGGGCATTGGCTATGAGGAAAGGTTAAAAAGACTAGGATTGTTTTCACTGGAAAAATGGCGGCTGAGAGGAGAACTGATAGAGGTCTACAAAATTATGAGAGGCATAGATGGGGTGAATAGTTAGAGGCTTTTTCCCAGGGTTGAAGTTTCAATTACAGGGAGCACAGGTTCAAGGTGAGAGGGGGAAAGTTTAAGGGAGACTTTTGATGGAAGTTTTTCACAGAGAGTGGTAGAAGCCTGGAATGTACTGCCAGAAGAGGTGGTGGAAGCAGGTATATTGGCGATATTTAAGAGATACGTGGATGCTTACACGGATAGGGAGGGAATAGAGGGTTATGGACCAAATAAGGGCAGAAGGTTTGTTTTTTAGTTGAGTTAGGGCATGGTGATTGGTACAGGCCTGGAGGGCTGAAGGGCCTGTTCCTGTGCTGTACTTCTCTTTTGGTCTTTGATCTTTTCTAGAGAATGTACTCCACGACAAATATTTGTAATCGACAGTATACAGATGATTGCGGTATTTTGCATTCTACGCAAGACTTGAAAGTCACTCTCACTCTCTTCAATGCTGCACACGGAACCCAGCCTGTCCCTGAATATTTCGAAAACAAAATTCTTTTATCAACCCTCATATAGTCAGCCTAATATTTTACCTCCCATACATGCTGAAGGAGACACTCTGGAATATGTTGAGCACTTACCATTTTCTCAACAGGTGGTCAGCAATGAGAAGATCCAACACTGATCAGATGTTCCAGTTTAACTTTCTTCAAACTGCAACAACAAAAACCCAACAAAAGTCCTAGTTTACAGAGCAGTTGTCATTTCAGTACTACTGTGGTGTCCAGTTTTGTCTGTGTATCAGTGATGCATAAGTGTATCACAGACAGCTCATCAGCAAAGTTCTGCTGTATCTTCCAGGTTCAATATAAGGAACATAAAACAAACATTAATGTCCACCTTGAAGCCAGCTCCACAAGTATTGAGGTGAACTTCTTTCAACTTCAGAGGCCTGGACACTATGTCTACACAGCCAAAATTCCATCAGGTCCTGTTTTCTCAACTCTCAAATGATCAATATTCCAGGGGAGGACAAAGAAAACTTTTCAAAGACATTCTGAAACTCTCCTTGAAACAAGGCAGTAGTGATATTAATTAATTCTCAGGACTTTTTACTTTTGTTCAGAATGAAAACAACATGCCCATCAAGCTGATTCACACTTTGAGGTGCACTGTCTTGATGGTAAGACCAGAAGAAAAGATGAATAAGTAAATTCTGCAATTTGGATCTCACTACCTCATGAAGCATCCTGAGTTTTGTGCTCAAAGTCATGAAGGTCAAGAATTGGTTTATTCATTCACATAGTGATCGATGGTTGAAATTCACAGCTCTGAGTAGATATCATTATTGAATTAAAGGAAAAGTGTCACTAACAAAGCAATCAACATAATTTGCAAATGTGTGTATTTGAGCATATTTTTATTAAGTGATATTCTCATCAAAAAGACATTGTGATAAATAGGGACAGAAAATTCATTAAAATGGTTCCAGGTTCTTATTACAGCAAGCCAAACATGAAGACATGAGTTTGAAAGGTAGTATTCTGTATAACAGGGAAGGTTTAAGGATGAAATTTTGAGGCATGCAGCAGAAATTATTGCAGAAAATGTGTGAACAACATTGGTACAAATTAGAACTGAATACTTGAAGATAGAATATTTCCAACCCTTATTGGTCCCTGATTCCCAATAAATTGATGTTACATTTCTCAACTACAAAATTAGGCTCAAATTTTTAATCCTTGTTCAAATCCTCTGTCTCTACTCTTATTTGTTTGTATTTACAATTACTAATTGTATTGCACTTGTATTTACTTGATTTTCCTTACAGATAACACAACAACTGTTACTCAGTCAACACTTATCTCTGTGGCATCTACTAGACAGAATGTGTTCACTATGATGTCAACCAACAAGGCTGAATTAACAGGTAAAGACTCTCACTGAATTCACTCTGTGTTAAATCAACTCTGTATTAGGCAAGTGGCATATTGGTAATCTGCAAACTGGTAAATGCAAGCCATTGCGCTGGGGATCAGGATTCAAATTCCACCACGGCAGATGATGAAATATGTTTAGAAATGGCCAGTGGAAATGATGGAACCTTTCATCCTTACTGAAATGTCTCAACTGCAGTGAATAGGCAAGCTTCATGGTTTTTCCAGTATAAATCACTGACTCACCTCAGGGGTGGTTGCAGCAACATCCTTTTAGTTTCAGGCACTAAGTTTAACAAACACTTCATGAAAATATACTTCAAACATGTCTATTTACTTAATAAACATCTACCATCATTCTGTAAACAAAGAAAATAAATATTCTGCAAAATCTTTTGTCAGCCAGATGTGTATCTGAAGTGACTACCAATAAGCATTGTCAAGAGTAAGAATGTATATGAGAAATACCCCTGTCCCAGATCTAGGAAACACCTAAGTTAAACCAGAATGCTGCAATGGCATTGATGTTTAATAGGAGGAGGAGAGCATGTGGGCAACTTCATCAAGCAAGTCATGTCATGATGGAGAAGGAGTCCAAGATTTTGACACAACAACAGCGAAGGAATGGCAATATAGCTCAAGGCCAGGATGGTCTGCTGCCACTGTGCATCAGTGATAGACAGACTGAATGTTGAAAGTGCCAAGCAGACAGCTTTGACCTGGATGGTGTGAAGCTTCATCAGTGCAGTTGCACCCAGGCAATTGGAGATTATTCCATCACACTCTTGACTTGTGCCTCGTAGATGATAGATAGGCTTTCAGGAGTCAGGAGTTTAATTGTCACATAATTCCCAGCCTCTGATTTGCTTTTGCAATCACAATGTCTATATGGCTAATCCAAATCAGTTTATAGTCAATGGGAAGCCCAGCATGCTGACAATGGAGGATTATCAGGACACCTCCCACTGTATGTATTGTGCTACCACCTCTGGTGAGCCTGTCCTGTCAATGAAAAAAGATGCACCTAAGGCTGAGATGGTGACAGTGCTGTCTGAGACATTGTCTGCAAGGTATGATTCCATGAAAATTGATACCTCTCTTAATTTTGGAATAAGTCCCCTGATATTAGTAAGGGGAACTTTGCAGTGTTGACAGGCCTATGCGTATTAGTTGTTTCTGGTGCATGGTGAATGCCACACAGTCTATCCAGTTTCAGTCTTTTTATCAGAATTCCTAGTGGTCAGATACAATCATGCAGATTTAATACAGTATTTGAGAAACAGGTTTTCATACTTAATTGTGACTGTGAAATCTTCAATTCTATAAAAATAGTCTACAAATGTTTCTAATCATAATAGTTAAAAGCAATTGTATATTTGTAGTAACAGCCCAAAATTTGATAAGTACAGCTGAGATCAAAGTATCTTAGTTCTATGGTTTTTATTTTAATTGCACATTCAATAATCAACATGTTACTGATTATATCATATTGGTTCCTTTTGATAGATCCTGCACCTTGGTTAGAACCAACTTTAACTACTTCTGCAAATGGATCCAGTCCTTTGTCTGTACTAGCCTTTGGTAATTTTATGCTGTTGAATACACAATTCATTTGGCCAACATAACACTATCTTTTATGTTTGTGGCTCAATTGTCACAGGTAGTCGCCAAAGGTAGGGTAAAAGCAAAAACGTGGAGGTGAGCAAAATGGAAATAGATACTTATAAAGAAAACCAATTGGAATACATTTGAATACTGTGTGCAATTCTGGTCTCGCTGCTATGGGAAGGATGTTGTGAATTTTGAAAGAGTTCGGAAAAGATTTACAAGAATGTTGCAAGGGTTGGAGGGCTTGAGCTGTAGGGAGAGATGAATAGGCTGGGATTATTTTCCCTGGAGGGTCGGAGGCTGAGGGGTGACCTGATAGAGGTTTTTAAAATCATGAGGGGAATGGATAGGGTGAATAGCCAAGGTCTTTTCCGCAGGGTGGGGGAGTCAAAAAGTAGAGGGCACAGGTTTAAGTTGAGAGGAATGAGCTGGCAGAGGAAGTGGTGGAGGCCGGTACAATTACAACATTTAAAAGGCATCTGGTTGGGTATATGAATAGGAAGGGTTTAGAGGGAAATGGACCAAATGCTGGCAAATGGAACTAGATTTATCTAGGATATCTGGTCGGCATGGACAAGTTGGACCGAAGGGTCTGTTTCCATGCTGTATGACTCTATGACTCCATGATTCCCAATTTTGGTTTTTTTTTATATGTTAGAGATCTAGGAATAAATCTTGCTGTGCTCTGTTCCTGATACAAAGGACCAAGTTATCAGTACTGAGGTAGTTAGTTCAAGTCAGGAAATTTCCTGACTCACTGAAGCTGCCTCAGTAAATAGTGTGCCACTACGTGCAATTTTTGCTTAGGGAAAGCAGGATCGATAAGTTGGATGTATCAGCCCTGGGAGGGGTCACAAAAGCAAATGACTGCTAAGTTGAACTCATAGGAAGGCCAACCTCAGTTCTCTGGGACTTCACTCCAGTTTTCTTTTTAGGTAAGATATTAGGCCCTCTAGTCTTGTCTCCTGTTAAAAACAACCAACTTTCTATTCAGATTGCAGTCCAAAGACAGTTAATTGCCTCTGTAGCAACTAAATCAGATGTGAACAAAGAACCTCCTGCTGAAACACAGCCAACTATCACTCATGATATTAATAATAGCCCTTAGGTAAAGGTCAACAAAGAAATCTATTGAATCAACATGACCAGCTGCTATTTTTTTCTGACCTACACCTAGCAGTTCCACATAAGTTTTTTTTAACTCTCAGTGATAGCTGCAGCCTATTGTGTATGTGTCAATTCTTTGATCGTTTTGCCTTAACCCCTTTCTCTTGCCTTTTCCCCATACTCTTGCACAATGCTTCTATTTAAATAATCATCTAATGTCTTCCTAGTGCCTCAATTGAATCTGCTCTCCCAAACTTCCATGCAATGAATTCCATCCTAATTCCTTATTGTGTGAAAATGTTCTTTCTGACCTCTCATTTCCTTTTTCCGCAAAATGTTTTGAACCTGGGCCCCTTCCACCTTTTTAGGAGTCCTTTTACACGTTGGAACAGTTTCTTTCTACCTGCTATGTCCAGACTCCTCATTATTTTGAAATCTTCTAATAAATCTCCCCTCACTTTTCTTCCCTCCAAGAAGAATAGTCCCAATTTTTTTCCCAATCTTTCCTCATAACTGAAGTTTTTTATCCCTCGAACCATTCTTGTAAACCTCATCTGCACTCTCTAAAGCAGTCATACGTTTAATAACATGTGACACCCAGAACAGTACATAATACATAGTACACAATTAAGTCGTGTCCTATATAGGTTCAACATAAAAATCCTTGCTCTTGTACTCTATGGCCCTATTAATGAAGCCTGAAATACTGTAATATTTATTAACAGCTCTCTCAACCAGTCCTGCCACTTTGAATGACATATGCATGGACTTATGCATGGTATTTCCACAACCGTTAGAATAATACTCTTTCTTTTAAATGTCTCTCCATGTGTGTTGTACCAAAATGTATCACTTTAGTCTTCCCTGCATTGAACTTCATCTGTCACCTGTCCTCTCACCGCACCAACTTGTCAATTTACTTTTCGGGTTCCTCCTCAAAGTTTACAATTCTCCCATGTTTGTATCATCTATGAACTTTGAAATTGTACCTGTCCTTGAAATTGTCCAGGTCTAGGTGATCTGCCTAATGGGAAAAGTAAGAGTCCCAAAACCAATCCCTGGAGAATTCAACTTCTAATCTTCCTCCAGCCAGAAAAAAAACCTATCAACCATTCACTGTGTCCTATCCATCAGCCAACTGTATAACCATTTGTTCCCGTCTCCTTTATTTCATGGTCTATAATATTCCTCAAAAGTCAGTTGTGTGACATTGTCTTAAACACCTTTTTGAAGTCCATTGATTTAATTGTGTTTATGTTAATCTTAATTACTTGTCTAATAATTTAGCATCAACTTCTTAAATATCATATTGAAATTATCTTTATAAGATCTAGCATTTCCACCTTACAGATATTTTGTATATGCTTTCAGCTGTGATCATCCTGATCTTGATCCTTGTAATAGTTGTGGTGATCCTCTTCAGTGTCATCAGTCTGCGATTTAAATGTTGTGATTTTCAGGATGCATCACAAGGTAGCCAACCCATTTACGATACTTTACTGCCAAAATTTACCGAGAGCTAACCAATATAGCAGCATGTATTTTATCAATAAGATTGTCTTTAAAACTCGAGTCATGAAAAAATACAACTTTACATTTTTAGTATATAAATTTCAAACCATGTTTTGTAACGTAATATATGACTTATTTAATGACTAGAAACTATCAGCTATTATACTCACTACATTTTTCAGAAAAAATATATAAGCAGCTACTGTAAAAGGATGAAAAAAAGAAACTATTCATTTCAGTGTTTTGTTCATATCTTGCTATTCATTCTTTGATAGGTTCACATTTTTTTTAATTCTATAGATATAAGGAAGGCAAGGAATGCTGCACCATCAGAAAGGTAAGTTACATTTAGATAATTCAATATCACATCGAACAATTTGTTAAAAATTGAAAAGTTATAATTGATACAGATATTACTGATTTTTAAAAATCTGTATAATTGCATTTTCCCTCAGCTCTCAGGCTAATGGAGAAAAAGAGAGCATTACTCTGGTTTCAATGCGAACTCTAAGTACTGAAACTGGTACGTAATTGCAGAGTACATCATTCAGAATATTTTGTTCCTGTTGTAATTGGATTCTGCAATGATTATAATTTTGTTGTACTTCAGGAGGACCAGAACCATCAATGCAGGGATCTCTTCAGAATGATGCCATTGAAGCTGGTGAGACTGATAAACACTTCCAACAAATAAATAACACAAAGGTATGTTTTTTTTTAAACATTAAAATACATTGTTGATCATTGTAAGCTGAACTGTAAGGTGTATATAAATTCTTCCTTGCAAAATATTCAGTTTTTTTCAGCTACCCAACATGTGAAGACAAATCTTTTTTTCAATTCACCCTCTCATCCCACATAATTGTTCTTCTTCTGAAATAGGAATAGCATATTATTACAATTTAATGCTAATCTATCTCATGAAACAAGTCTGAGTCCCCAATAGTGAGAAAAGTCACTTCACTATCCTTCCAGAATTCTTTTCCATTTAACCGGGTTTAGGTGGAACATAAGAGAGATAGTAAATCTAATTATATAAAATATAAGGGAGGAAAATTATTTCTTTGGTGTTATTTACCAATTTTTTTTTTAAGATAAAGGATAATAAATCATTTCTTACCGAATTAACAGAGTACCATTAAACTGGCAACCAAGTATAATTTCCTGGCTGGGAGAGGGGTAGAAGTGAGGAAAACAGACAACGGATAGGAGCAGGAATAAGAGACGGAGGAGGAAAGATGGAAGGAATCAGAAGAGAGGTGGACAGGAGGATCAACTAGGATAAGGAAAACGTGAATTGATAGAAGGGAGAAATACAGGAGAAGTGATAAATGAGGGAAAAAGAGGGAAGCACAGTGAAATGAAGACAATAGACGAGAAGAGGAGGGAAGTGAAGGATAAATGCAAGTAGGAGGAGGGGATTGAAAGATACAGAAAGAAGAGCAGGACAATGTAAGGAAGGAAGGAAGAAGGAAGGGGAAAGGGATGAAAGTAAGTGTAGGGAATGAACAATGGAAAAGAAGAAGGAAAAGGCATATGGGAAAAATAGATATGAAGGAAAGGAAGAGAAAGAGGGAGATATCACATTTGTGGATCAAAAGTTGCTGCCACTAATCATCTTTTTTTTAATGATATGGGCCTAATTGATTTGTATTTGGACAGGATCAACTACTGCTAAGACTGAACAAACGGCTTTTGTCTTTAACATGATGACAATCAGTTACAAGTTGCATGAGTTCATTAGACAACGAATGGACTACTAAGGAGACTTGTAGACATGCATCTGCACTCCACGAGATCCTAAGATATTCTGCCTTACCCCTAGCTGTGACTGTATGATGTCATGAGATTATGCAGAGATTAATGCAGTCTCTAACATTAACCCTTTGAGAAACATTACCTTAAACATCAGGAAAGTGAGCAATTGAAGAGTGAGAGTGGGTAGGAAATGTGCACTTAACTGTTGTCTCTGTAATGTTATGTGTTGTTTCATTAGTGTACGTCACATATTGTTACATTCATGGGGTCCTTACAAGTGCAGCACCTTTGGAATCTTGTGGTCACTCACCATTTTAAATATATAATAGACACTATCTTTTAAAAATATTATTTTATCATAATTAGAAGACCAGCTGCTGGAAATGTTTGGAGATCCAAGATAGTATATATGTTGAGTGATGTTTTCTGCTTCTTATTATTGACTTATCGATAGTCATGATGGCTATGTCATTACTGTAAACTGTTTCTTGTTATTGTTATTTATTAACCCTTTTGGTACTCTATTTCAGTTGGTATAAAGAAATTGACAGAGGCCAATGCTGCAGATAGGAATAAACTATGGAGAAACATGGACTGAATCTCACAATACAACTTAGACAACTCATTCCATTCATCTTCTTTATTAGTAAATAGTTCTAACAATTTTTTTAAATAAAACAACATCTGAAAAGTTTCTTGCGTTATTATGGACTAATATGTGACCTATATTCCAGAGTGCTTCACCATTTTGGGAGCTAAAATAACATTAAATAAGCTGCAACTTTGTAAATTATTGTTTTGTTAATTATCATTTCTGTCAACAGATGTCTAAAGAATAATGATGACTAAACAAGATGAAACATTGAGAAATTTAAATATATGCTATTTGAATTTGTTTGATTATTATACATGTTACAGAGGCATGTCCTCAATTTGGAGGTTTGATTTGTCCTGAGATGATTAGATTCAGAGAGGGAAATAGGGCTTAACTTTGCTTCTAAAATTCTGCTTACTCATCTTGGCAAATCTGTATACACAAAAATGCCACTGCTGTTATTGAAAAGACAATTAGTTACAAAATGCAATACAACAAATGCATGTAACCAAATACATGAAGTGAAATACAGTAATTATTTATTTAATACATTTGGACATATTTAGTTCTTTCATGACTCCCCGCTCCAAAAAAAACTGCATCATATCCATTTCCTTTAGGAAGTATAAAGTAATTCTCCAGCAAAGACACATAAAAATAATGGGGTGAATGTAGCTAGAATGTGGAGCCTAGAATTGTGGTAGGAGCCTATAGACCAGGCTTTGTCCTACACTGCTTTAAAAGTACATGCTAGGTCTCGTGAAATAAGGTTGAACATCACTGCTTGCTGACCATCTCAATCCAAACCTTACAAATAAATAATGCAGCAATGAGGGGCCGATCTGGGGATTCACAGGAAGGATTGGCTCAGGCCTATCAAAGATTTATGTAAAATGGAGGCTGGTAAGCCAGTGAGTTGAGACCTATTAACTCCAGAAAGATGCCAGTGAATATCATCTAGGGGAATATAGGCCAGGGACACATTGTGGATCCTTGAAAAAGAATGATAGCACATTTCAAATCATGAGAGATCAAGGGTGATCTATATAGAATTTCTTAGAGAGTGGTCTGGGCAGCCCCAAAGACTGCCAGGTATGGACATTCCCAGCAGTCTGATATAGAAAGGTTCTAGTGATCTGGAATGCATTGTCCCCATTATAAATTACCTCCCCTCATATTTATCCTACTGGGTTCCTGGAGTCTGCACTAAACAGCAGTATTTGGCTGGAGCAGCATTAATTGCCCAACACTTATTGCCCGATAGAACATGGTGGTGAGCTGCCTTCTTGAGGTGCTATAGTCCAAAGAGTGTAGGTATGCCCACAATAGTGTTAAGAAGCGTGTTCTAGGATTTTGACCCAGTGACAATATAGCAATGGTGATATCATTCCAAGCCAGGGTGATATCTGGCTTAGAGTGGAACTTGTAGGTAGTGGTTGCCCCATGTATCTGTTGCCCTTTTCCTTCTAAGTAGAAGAGATTACAGGTTTGGACAATGCTGTCGAAGGAGCCTTGACAAGTTGTAGATGATATGCACTGATGCCATTGTGCATTGGGGTGAATGAGGTACCACTCAAGCAGACTATTTTGTCCTGGATCGCCGTGAGCTTCTTGACTGTTGTTGGACCTCTACTCACCCAGGAAATTGGGGAGTACTCTATTATTCTCCTGGCTTAATGGTGAACACCCATTGGGGTTATAGGAGTTACTTGTTTACAAAATTCCCACTTTCCAAACTGTTCTTGTAATATCAGTATTTATAAAACTGGTTCAGTTCAATTGCCCCAAGGATGTTCAGAGTAGGGGTTCAGAGATGGTAGTGCATTGAATATGAAGATGAGATGAGATCTCCCTCTTGGTGGAGATGTCTGGCATTTGTGTGACAGGAATGTTACTTGCCATGTGACCTGCCCATGATTGGATGTTATCCAAGTCATGCTACATATGAACAATGGTTACTTTACTATTTGAAAAGTCATGAATAGTGCTGAAAATTGTGCAATTATCAGAGAACATCTCCACTTCTGACATAATGATGTTGGGAAAGTCATTAATAAGGCGGCTGAAGATGATTGGGCCGAGGGCACTACACTGAGGAACTCCTGCAGAGATCTCCTGGGGCTAAGCTGATTGACCTCCAATATTCACAACCATCCTTCTTTGTGCTAGGTATGATGATGGAGTATTTGCCCCCATTTCCATTGACTTCAATTTCGCTAGAACTCTTTGAGTAATGTTTGTAATCTACAGTTTTCCTGGGTAGTTAATTTTGTCTACCTATTCTTTGAAAAAAGAAATTAAAAGAAATAAATAAATGGTTTACAATTTACATTTTAATTTAGTTTCTTATTTTAGGAGTATAAAGTATAAGAACAATGACTTACCAAATCTTTGCTCTCCTGACTTCTGCACTGGATTGAAATAAAATGTTGAAATGCTTGAAACATTGAAATTTTGAAACGTGCAACTGTCAGAATTCATAAAGCTTCAAGAACGCAGAAATTACTGCTTGCAATACCAGGTTACATCTATACTTAATACATTCACAATACATTTCTTTGCCTGTTGTAAACCTTTTTCCAGTTATGGTAACTAATTGACCCACAAGTCCATTTGTGTTGAATGGCAAATGATGCTCTCCTTTCCCAGCTTTTTGCATTTCGATAATATCAAATTTGTTTGATTTTTGCTCCCAGAACCCATTACTGCATATTGTACTGTTCTAAGTACAGTGCAGTAATAACTAATGCAGTGCTAATAAATTGGCACTAAAAATTCCTTTTATTTGGGGGATTATGATAACTAAATTTTCATTTGTCTAATCAATGTAGGAACTCATGTCGATCAGTTTAGCTTCTCTTTGGAAAGCCCCAGTAAAGCCTTATACTTCTGTATCAAATGGTTTTTGTTGTCTCTTTTTTTGGAGGAGTATGGTAGCTGAATTTTAATTCGCCTAAACAACACACGTGGTCATGATGATCATTGTGATGTGTCACTCTCCAGATCAGAAAGCACAACCTAAGTTTTGTAACACTAACGTCACTCACAGTTTGGTTTTAGACTAAGAACACAAGATAGTTGAAACAAGGCCAGGTGATCTTATGTTTCCAGATTATCATTCTAACCATCCAATTACAGTAACAAATTATTTCCTAAATGATCTTTCCCAGCAACCAACTACCTCTCAGCTTGGTTCAATAATAACAATCTTACCCTTGAGTTAGTTAAATCATCAAATAATTTATGTAACAAATAATAACATTTCAGTACAAGAGAACATTGAATTAGAAGTGCAGATCATAGAGGGAGCGTTAAACTAAGTCCCCATCTAACCATTCTCGAGGCCGTAAAGCATTCATGCACTGCTTGAGGAGAAATACAGAGTTCTTCAAATGAGCTAGTTAGCATTCATCCCACAGATCGGATAAATACAGATTAAATAATTAGCTACATTTTTTCATTCATTTGTGGGATGTGGGCATTGCTGGCTGGCCAACATTTATTGCCCATCCCTAATTGCCCTTGAGAAGGTGGTGGTGAGCTGCCTTCTTGAACCGCTGCAGCCCACCTGTTGTGGGTTGACCCACAATGCCATTAGGGAGGGAATTATAGGAATTTGACCCAGCGGCAGCAAAGGAATAACGAGGTGTTTCCAAAGCAGGATGGTGAGTGGTTTGGAGGGGAACTTGAAGGTGGATATGTTCCCAAGTATCTACTGCCCTTGTCCTTCTAGATGGAAGTGGTTGTGAGTTTGGAAGGTGCTGTCTGAGGATCTTTGGTGAATTTATGCAGTGCATCTTGTAGATTATACACATTGCTGCTACTGAGCATCAGTGGTAGAGGGAGTGGATGCTTTTGTCCTGGATGGTGTCATACTCCTTGAGTGTTGTTACAGCTGCCCCCATCCAGACAAATGGGGAGTATTCCATCATACTCTTGACATGTGCCTTGTAGATGGTGGACAGGCTTTGGGGACACGAGAAATGAATTACTTGTCGCAGTATTCCTAGCCTCTGACCTGTTCTTGTAACCATCATGTTTATGTGGCAAGTCTAGTTAAGCTTCTGGTCAATGGAAATACCCAGAAAATTTATAGTGGGGTTTCAGTGATGGTAACACCATTGAAGGGGCAGTGGTTAGATTGTCTCTTATTGTTGATGATCATAGTCTGGCATTTGTGTGGGTCAAATGTTACTTGCCTCTTGTCAGCCCAAGCCTGGATACTGTCCAAAACCTGTTGCATGTGAACATGGACTGCTTTAGTGTCTGAGGAATCACAAATAGTGCTGATCATTGTGCAATCATCGGCAAACATCCCCACTTCTGACCTTATGATGAAGGGAAGGTCTTGATGAAGCAGCGGAAGATGGTTGGGCCTAAGACATTATCCTGAGGAACACCTGCAGGGATGTCCTGGAGCTCTTTTGCTGTTGTGGTATTGTGCTGTACAATTTGGGTGATATGTACATCATTCTGACTTCACATCCTTACTCATCACATTTCAACACAATTTACCAAATTGGATAAATACATAACTTCCCTGCTTCTGTCTAGTCCTTTAATAAAGATGTAACATCTTACCCAACCTAGTTTTTAAAATATTAGTTTGGCTAGAGTAAGACCAAAAGTCCCTTGCTAGATCCCTTTTTGGCACTGAATCCTGTTACAACATGTCAAATAGGTTCTTTTTAAGGCTGTATATTTTCTAGCCATCAGAATAGAATAAAATCACAAATGGCAATAAGAGCCAATTATTTAAGCAGTATCATTATTGTAAATAATTTTATGAGGTTATTTTAATACTTTCAGGTCTCACATAAACTTGAAGAAAAGTAGTATTTTAGTAAAGTATACCCTTACATCCAATATCATTTTAGGTCTTTTAGAAAAGCAGCAATTGAGTTGGTTCAGCTCAACATTAAAATCTGTGTGGTGATTTTTATAAACCACTTTCACATTGATTTCAACAGGTATGCCACAACTAAGTATGTCAATGGCAAAAAGCAGTTGTGCAAATAGTTTCTGTAAGATATTACTAATAATGCTAGTGGGATAATTATGGTGAACATTGTTTTTGCTGTCATTATGTTCACAAAATATAGATTCATGCTTATGAATAAAAACCCACTGTCATAAACACCCTGGATTTGTTGGGCAAAACATTTTTTTCTATAACATAAAATGTTAACTTCTAG